GGGGTGCGGACAGAGGGTGGGCTCAGCCTGGGGTGCCCGTGCCTGCGTGGGTGAGGCCCCACCACTCTGGATGGGGGGTGGGGGGAGGCGGATGTGGCCAGTGCCCTCTCTTTCCCTCTTGCCCTGGGTTCTGCAAATTTCAGGGGTGAGCCTGTTGCTGGGGGTGTCTGAGAGAAACCCACATGCAGATAGAAACAGGCGGCTGCACCCATGAGATTGGAATTTAGGGGAGAGAGCCCAGCTGGAGACAGAAATTTGGAAGTTGCTGCCCAAAAGATGGAATAAAAGCCACAGGCACTGATGAAGTCACTTGGAAAAGGGCATCACATAGTGCCTGGCACACATGTTTGTCAGACAATGATTCAGTGAGAGCCAGAGAGAAAACTTCTCCCTTGGAGTATTTACGACACATGAATCAGAAGTAGATGTCAGAAAGTGGGAGGTGAACTGAACTTGACGATGATCCTGAACGCACGAGGAAGGGACAGTGAACACAGGCCAACCAGAGGCTCACAGAGGAGCCCTCTGCAGGGCACAGCATGTGGACCAGATGATGGGGACTTGCAAGGGACAGCCCCACAGGGGAGGGAGTGTTGGGAAAGAGGCCTGCGTGGGGCCAGCAGGACCCTCCAGTGAGCTAAACAAAAGGAACGCAGGAGCTCGGCGGCTGCAGACAGCCAGGGCATTTCAAAGAAAAGTGCCAACCCCCAAAAGCTTCCTAGCAGAAGACAGGAACTACTTTTAAAGATGCAGCTTTAAATTTACCCTCAGAAGATAGCCCCAGAATGACAGAAGCCCTCGGGGGAGGAACAAGACAAAAAGATTCCACACAGTGCCACGGCAGGTCCTCGCCAGGCAGAGAGCTTGTCCCTCTAGCTGCCCCTTGACCGGGAGGATTTCTTGTGTTTCTTCTCTGTCCTACAGATGAGGACACTGAGGCCCGAGCACGTGAAGGCCGCATGGCTGGCCAGCCCCCAAGCAGGACTGTGCGTCTGGGCCCTGCTCCCAGCACCACTGTGCTTCCCAAGTGGCCAGGGCCCCTGGAGACCCGTGACGCAGCTCCACCCCAATCTGGTGTCACCCTCTGGGACAGTCCTGCCTGTCAATTGCTGCCAGTGCACTAAGTCCTGAGCCTGCCCTTTCACCCCACTGCTGACCCTCCTCCCTGATCCAGGGCCCAGTGTTCCATTTTCTTTGCAAACGTCTTTCCTCAGGGCGGGGGGTATGACTTTTCTGTTTGAAAAATGTGGCTCTTGGGCCGGCCCGGTGGCGCACTGCTACAGTGCGCTGCTTGGGAAGCGCGGCGGTGCTCCCGCCAAGGGTTCGGATCCCACATACAGACCGGCCACTCACTGGCTGAGCGAGGTGCGGGAGTGACACCGAGGGTTGCGATCCTGTTGCCGGTCCCAGTCCAGTGCGGGCGCGACACTGAGGGTTGCGATCCGTTGCTGGTCACGAAAAAAGACAAAAAGGAAAAAAAAAAATGTGGCTCTTTAAGAGCCTGGGCTCTGAATTCAGACTACCTGGGTTCAAATCCTGCCTCTGTCACTTTCAAGCTGTGTGGCCTGGGGTGAGTTTCTTAACCTCTCTGTGCCTCAGCGCCCTTATCTGTAAAACAGGATGGCGACAGCACCTGCTTTAGAGGGCTGTGGGGGCATCGCCTGGGTTGATTCTGGCAAAGCATTTGGAGCAGACCTGGCCTGGGCTGAGTGATCCATCCTGTTAAAGCTTGACACCGCGGCTCTACTCTGCCTCAGATGCCCCCACGCAGATCACCCTTGGCAGACCAGCTGGAGGGGTTCTTTAAAGACATGAGTCCGACCATGTTGTCTCTCTGCTCGAAACCCTCCAGTGGCTCCCAGCTTGGAGTGCCGGCCTCCCTGTGGCCCCAGCATGCTGGGACCCGGCCTCCTCTCCTTTGATTCCTCCCTGCTGCTCAGCGCCACCAGGTTCACTGCTGCAGCACCTTTGCGCTGCCGGTTTCCTCTCCCCTTGCACCACCTGTGAGACCGCAGCCACCTTCTCAGTGAGGCCTGCTGCCACTGGCCTGTCCCGAGACTGGCCCCGGCGCCAGCCCTTCTGTGTGCTGTCATTTCTCATGTCCCTCCCTTCCGACATTCTCTATCATTTAGGGTCTGG